TAAAAATTTCGTTTTTCCGAATCACGAAAATAAGAAAGCAAGATACTTTTTTTTAAAATAACTGTTCTTACACTACAGAGAGTGTTTGAAGAAAGCAAAATCGTGAAAGGCTAAGTCAAGGTTCCATATTGCAAATCGTATACCTAAGTCGCTCTCGATAGACAACTCTTACCATTCGGAGGACTCGCGTCTATTATCGGTTAGTAATTCAAGTTTTTCACGGATCACACGAAGCCTTCAGGTCACGGATTACAAAGAATAATTTCCTAAATTCAAGTTTTACGGTAAATAAAATCAGCTAATCACCCATCACGAGAATACCACTGAAAGGACGTGACCATAGGCGGCCCAGACGCCGAATACGATTAATACGTGACATTATGCTGTTGGCGATTGCGTTACAACTTAAGCCATTTATAAGAAAATGTATGAGAATGCTTCGAAAATTGCTCTAAATTCTACGTGTAATTTAAATAAACGTGGCCTACCTTAAGTTTGTATTGCGTTTTTTTAGTGTCTCTATGTTCCTCAAGGCGGTTTAGAGCCATTTAGATATGATTGGTCAAATACTGTCACGTGAACCGTGTCCAACACCGCCTGAGCTCACCCTACACCCTAAATAAAATGTCGTGTTGTTGTCTGTTGATAGTTTAGAAAACTAAGCGGTAAAAATTGGCCGCAGAATTTGTGCAGGATGCTCATACTAATGTTTTGACGGTTTTCCCGGAGAATAATCGAGCGTGTCATTTGCGAGCTTAGCTTTTAAAATGTAGTTTAGAAAATCGAGGAGACAAAATAATTTCTGAGTAATATTTAATTTTTTTAGCGACTTCAGTAACGTGGACAGCACCTCCTCCAACTTGGACTCAGACGGATCCAAATGACATTAGAACAGTTGATTTGCAGGTGTTAAATGGAAGTACTCAGGTGGCTCTGAAGTGGAGTTACACTCTGTCATCTGGTTCACTGGTATCAACTACATTTTCTAGAAGTTTAAATGATGGCAGGTTCGATGATATTGGAACGATATCTGGTGGTAATCCTGTTGTATTTAACAAACTTGATTACCGAACACGTTTTGATATTAGTAGATATGAACAGGCCACCTTGATAATAAACAGAGTCACTCAAACAGAAGAAGCGGTTTACCAATGCAAGCTTACAACGGATTTAAACCAATGGAGTTACAGAATACACGTCATTGTAACAGGTGAGCATTGTAATGTACATTGTATTAACCTATGAAGAAGAATTTACTTTTTAGTGCAAGCCTCAAACAGTTTTAACATTGTTAGGTGAATATACGAGTCAGCTTAGAATAGATCATGTTCGATATATCAAGATTCTAACATGACTCCGAGGCTTTCGGGTCAAAATTCTATATTTTTTTTTTTAAGTTTCTTTTTCTCTCAGTTTCCAAAATAGACTTGGATAATGAAAAAAAACAATACCAAATATAGAAGTTTGTCCTGAAAGCCTCGGAGCCATGTTAGAATATTGATATGTCGAACGTGGCCCATTCTACATGTAGCAATATTCGGAAATGAGTTTAAGAAATTTTTCGAATATTTCAACTTCAGGTGAAAGACAGAATACATGAAGGACAATCTTCACCTCTGCGATATACAGGCAAAGGGCTCAGTACCAACTCAGCTATAAAGCGAACTAGCGGTTGAGCTCCAAAGGAGAGCAAAACCCAGTAGCCCAGAACTAAAGGGGTCTAATTTGTTAGTTCGGCATGCTTACTGTTAGTATTGGGAGTGGACTGATATGAAAAGGATAAAAGTAGTAAATGCCCTAATGTCCCTTGCTTTGGCCTTTGGTCCGCCTCATATAAGAGCCGTCTCTTCCAGCTCTTCCTCCTTCCCCCCAACTTTCCCTTTCCTCTCGGGAAATCACCATTTCCTAGATTAAAATATGACCTTTTATGAGGTACAAATGCATTGCATTTTCAAGAATCTTTAGTAATAATGACTATAGCATTTATTAGTATATACCAAACAAGTGGATAGTGCTTTTCGCACATTCTGGTTCGTTACTCAAACTCGAAATAGTGTTTGCTTACTAAATTGAGCAAAGCACCTTGGATTAACTCAACTTTGAAGAAAGGTATGCGCTGTCACCATGCTGCTAAAAGGAAAGAAAAAAGAACAAAGAATCCTCAAGACTGGGCTAATTACAGACAGTTACGAAATCGAATCAACAATAAAGTGAAAACCACTGAGGCATCCTATTATCACATTAGTTTCAATCAATCCGAAGGAAACGCTCGAAGGACGTGGAAAACTATTACTAATCTCTTGTCTCATCGTCAAAACAACTAGATAGTAAAAAAAGTGAAAGTAAATGACATCTCTATCGGTAACTCTAACGAGATTTCCATTGCCTTTAACAAAGCGTTAGCAAGGGGAGGCGCCGGGGCGGGGGCCCGTACCCCTCCCAGTTTATTATCCCAAAAGTAAAAACAGACATGTATAACATGCTGAAAATAAAATCTGAGCTCCCAGTCGTATCACACAACTTTCCGCTGAATAACCTCTATGTATTCATTTCCTCAGTTCATATTTGTACGTCTTTTATTTATTTTTTACCGTTGTTAAAGCGGGTAAAGACTTACCTGCGCTAAACCACGGGGGAGGCCAGGCTTAACCCCCTCATGCTTCTGCGTTTACCTCTAAGGCAACTCAGATAGTTTGATAACGAACTAATACCCGACTCGGAGTCTTAGAAAGGTAAAACACTTGCTTGAGAGACAGTTGTTTATGCTATTTTGTAATTGACGTTGCAAGTGTTATACTTTTTTTCAATCCAGCATTGCTTTGCTGGGACAGTATAGGAGGTAGTTTCCGATACGCGTAAATTACAAATAGCTCTTGTAGAACGCTGGAAATAGCATTTCCAAACCTCTAGATTTCAAAATTTTGTGGACGGCATGCCCCCAGACCCCCTAGCGCCTCGCGCCTTCGGCGCTCGATTATGTGCTCCCTGGTTTTCCCCTTGCTACGACACTGTTTAACAAACATTTTTCAACTATAGGGCCCAAGGTAGCCCGCGACATTCCTTTTACTTCGGACGAGGAGTCTACCTATTTAAACAATACTCCTGAAAATTACAACAAATTCTGTTTTCGTCCA